AAAAAAAAAAAAAAAAAAATCTGTATCTACTATATCTCTATCTTTTGACTAGTAATTTCCTTCCTAGAAAGTTAATTTAAGGAAAATGTCAAGGATTTAAATTTTAAAGTATTTATAGCAGGATCTTTAAAAAATAAAAATTTAGAAAACAACAAAAACAGACTGTTCTGTAACAGAAGCTTAACTAAACAAGTGATAGTCCATTCTTACTATAACAATGATACAGCCATTAAAATTATGCTTTTGAAAAATATAAGAACATTTAATGATTATTCAAAAATAAAACTGCAGATCCATATTGGTTTTTGAAACTTACGTATAAGAATAAAAAGATATAATTTTGATAACACATTAAGTGGTAGGAGGTGTTAGGGAAGAAAACATTCCATGGAAGAAAATTTTAAATGCATAATTAACCTGGTAATGAATTTAGCCTCTTAATTTTTTTGGAGGGCAGCGTTGGTATGTTTGTTGGAGACAGGGTCTTACTACGTTGTTCAGGCTGGCCTTGAAAAACTTGTGATCCTCTTGCCTCAGTCACTCCTGAGTACTGGGATTATAGTGTTCACCACAAGGCCTGGGTTCAATTTTGGTTTCTTGTATTATCAGACAATATATAAAAATCAGCTTTATGGGGATATAACCTACACAAAATAAAATTCACCAGTTTTAAGTATAAAATCATTTACATTCTGACAATTGTGTATCCATTATCACTACTGTGATACAGAACATTTCTAACTACCTCAAGAAGTTCTCTTACATAATCTACATTTAATTCCTGTGATTACAATTTTATATTTTCTAGGAAGTCCTACAAATGGAAACTTACAGCAGATAACTTCATTTAACACTAGGAAGGAGGACATATAGAGTATATCAATAGTTCTCTCCTTTTGACTGCTGAGTAGTATTTCATTGCACAGATATCCCATCACTGATGGATATTTAAGTTTTTTCTGGTTTTTCAGCTTTTCTAAATAAAGCTACTATGATTATTCAAGCACCAGTTTTTATGTGTCATGTTTTCATTAATAACTGCTGGATTATACGGTATGTGTGTATTTAATACAAAAGAACCTGTCAAATTCTTTTCTTTTCTGTACTGTTTTCAAAATAGCTGTACAACTCTGCATTCCCATCAGCAATAAGAAAGAGTTCCAGTTTTTCCCTATTCTTATTAACACTTGGTACTGTGAGTCTTCCTAAGTAGTCAGTATGTACGGGATGACACTGTGGGGTCAACTCACATTTCCCTAAGATTACCAAGGCTAAGCAAGCAGCTTTTCATGTGATTATAGGCAGTATCTGTTTTGTTCAGCACTGATAAAAGGGGCATCACAGAAACACCTCCAGCTTCTCTTACTACTGCACTGCTGCACTGTTGGTTTGTACACTGGATAATCTCAGGTCAAAACCTGAGAGCAGAGCACATGCCAATCCAAACACACATCCAATTCACTGAAATATAATGTGGAGCAGGGAGGAGAGGGTAATGACAGTTACTCAGAACTTTCAAAAGCATGATGCTTTTCTGTGCAAACAGCATGGGGATATAGCTCAGTGGCACAGTGCCTGCCTGGCAAGCACAAGGTTGTGAGTTTGATTCTCAGTACCAAAACAAACAAAAAAAACAGCATAGGGGTAAAGGAGCGGCAGGCGACATGGAATCAAACTGTGAGAGCCTAGACATTCATCTCAACCTGTTCATTTTGCAGACTGAAAGGAATGGAGATTCAGATCAATCAGGAGACCACTAGTGAGGTGATGAGAGGGCCGGGGATACAGCTCAGTGGCATAAGCGCTTGCCTGGCAAGCCTGAGGTCATGAGTTCGATTCCCAGTTTAAAAAAATTATAAATTTAAAAAAAAACAAAATATATATATATATATATATGTATATATATAGTCACTAGTGAGGTGATCAGGTAGGAGAATCACAAATACAAGGAGGACGGCCTGATTTCTTTCAAGCTCTAGGCTACCACAAAATTCAAGCTGAAACTCCTTAAATTAATAAGGAAGACATTTAAACCTAAGATTAAATACTTTACACACCTAGAACACTGATTACTAAGTAAATAGCCTTCAGGTAAGTTCAGCTCATTTTCCCACTTGACTTCCTCATTTTAAAAAGGGCACTGGGGAGAGGACGCTATCTTCCACAATGAAGTAAAAATTAGCTCACTAAGAACAAGTCTATCAGACTGTTGCCTTTTAATATGTAACAGCTCCTTAAATAAATTAAAGTGCAATTTCTGAAAGGACAGTTAGTCTTAATTATATAATTAAGTTATCCAGAAAGGTCTATGACAGACCTGCCACATTACTGCTGGTGAGTTTTCCTCTTACTATTCAGGAAAGAGATTTTAAGTAATACCTTCATAATAAATCTAATAAAAATATGTAAATACACATGAAAAAATAAAAACAAAAAAGCTTGGTGTATTTACCATAAACATGTTTAATATTAACTATGTTAATACAGAAACTATTATACAAATACATTAATGTAAAATTACTTAGCCTAGGGAGAAATAACTGCTAATTGAACAAAATAAAATTTCAAATGTGATTTTAAGAGTGGTTGGCATGAGCACTCTTTGCCAAATAGAAAGGGCAGTTAATATGGCACTAATACTGCATTTATATTAAATATTTACTGTAGTTCGGAGAAGGAACAATGTAACAAACTATGAAAATCACCTGACCAATAGACACGTTTCTAGTAGGGTAGTAGAATTACATGCTTTGTGATAGGCATTTTGAGTTCTATTCAATTCTCCAATTAATTTTACAATGTTGGGCAAGTCACACCCCCATTTTGCACCTCTATTTTGTGCTTAAACAAACAAACAAAAACTAAAGAAGGTGGATGATAAGGTAGGAGGGCCCTGCAGAGGCCCACCTTCCACTGCTGCTCTGAGCCCAGGCGCTCGCTTTCCTGCCAGGTGTCCCCATGTGGCCATCAGAGGGCAGCACCTTTCTCATAATCATCCACCTCAAATCCTTACCTGCTTCAGGCGGTCCAATTCCGTCTCTAGCTCTTGCTTAGAGGCTTTCTGCCCGGCTATCTGGTCTTGCAGATCTTGTAACTGTTCTCTTGCCGATTCTGCTTCACTAACCTGCTGAGCCTCCATATCCTAAAAAGAAGAACCTTACATGTGAAAGCAGCAAGTAACCGTTCAGCTCAACATCTACCAACTGATGAAAAGTCCAGCGTGAGGAAGTAACCGCTTGAGCTAAAGCCGACCCAGTGCTTACTGAGCAACCACCATGTGCTGTGAACTGAGCTCAGCAGGCACGAGAAGGACAAAGGAGGGAGACGTGGGTTCAGTCTATAAGCAGCACGGAACCTGATGCCGTCCCCACACAGCATGGTCAGTGGAGTGAACTGGGTGCTGCAGCTGCTGTGGCACACAGACTTTCGGGGTTTCTGCATATGAGCAGACAGCAGCTCCCTGGGAGCTTCATACCTTCATTCAAAAGCTAGCAACTGCAGAAAAACAGAAATACACCACCAAAAGGACTTCACCGCATTAGTTACCTGTTACTGCAGGGTATAGTTAGTGTGCAGAGCAGCTGTAGTCAATACATGAAAACTTTCTTCTTACTGTACCATCTGGAGTTAGCCTATTATTTTCTTCTTTTAGCTTTATGACAATTCCCTGATTTCATACCTTACCATATTTCTAACTCTCAGTTCTTCAAACTCAACCACTTGTTGTTATGCCTACTGGTGCAAAGAACATAGCCCTAGGTTTTGATATTTTCCCCACGAGTCAAGCATTAAGTCCACGAATACAGTACAGTGGGAGACAGGGTCAGCACTGTAATTTTGCACTTTATATTTTGGTACCTTCTCTTTCATATTCAGCTTTCATCTCCACAAACTCTTGAATTTCAAATGTTGTTGGAAAGAACTAAGATTAACAATACTTCCAGATAATCACAATATGATTCCCTACACTCATACAATTTTGTAGATTTAGAGAAAAAGAAAAAAGCAGTAATTATTATTTTTCCCTATTTTTCAGTTTTAGGGATTAGCAGAAGGCAGATTAATCTTTGTCATCATTTGCCTAAATTAGGCAAATTCTTTGGAAGTAGGCAGAACGCACAATGATTAAGAACACATGTTTTAGACTGACATGGTGACCCACGCCTATAATCCCAGTCCTCAGGAGGCTGAGGCAGGAGGATGAGGCCAGCCTGAAATATATAGAGAGACCCTGTTTCAAAAAAAATCAAAACAAAACACACATGTTCTAGAGTTAAACTAGAGTTCTGATCCTGGCTGTGTCACTCTCTTAGTGTGATGGCATTTCCTTCTCTGTGCCTAAATTTCTTCAAATATAAAATAACATCATCTCCTTCGCAGTGTTATAGTACAGAATAAAGGTTAGGATGTAAGCCCAGTGCCTGGAGAAATGTCTGACACACAAGTGCTCATCAAATGACAGCTATTATAATTACTTACTCTTTCATTTTGCTAACCTAATACCTTTTATTACAGATTTCACGAACTTCTTAAGAGGCAGGAAAATGGTTCAATGTTATTCATGATGCTGGGATATTTTAAAAAGTAATAAATTTTAATAATCTCATTCAAAAGCCATAGAAGAGGTATGGATAACTTTAGCATTTAACCCAATTTTTAAGATTATGGACTTAATTCTTTAGAATTCGAAATTATTTACATTTTTAAAAAAATCCTGCCTTGAAGAAATACAAAACCTAGAAAGCCAGCAGCTATCTGAGGGTCCATTACAGGTCAGAAACAATGCTAGGTCCTTTGTCTACCTCTTATTTTCAAGACAACCTTTGTTTAGCTGCATTTTTTATACACAGAAAATAAAAGGTCCATGAGATGAAGTATCTAGTGCAAGCTAACATTGTTATGATTTATACAGAACTGCCCCCAAGAGCCTCGGGGACTGAAAGGCAGGCTTTTGAATGGTGACTGGATTATGGGGTGGTATAGCTGACTTGCAGTTTGGAGGTAGGGTCTCGCCAGAAAAGGTGGGTCACCATGGACCCTAAAAAAAGGGTCTGTCTGCCTTTCAAGCTCCTCCCTTTTATCCCTGCTCTCTGCTGCCATGCAGTGAGCAAAGCTCCTCTGCCACACCCATCTGCCAGGGCATCCTGCCTTGGTGCCAGAGAAATCTAGACTGAAACCTCTATAAACTGTGAGCCAAAATAAATCTGTCCTCATTTAAGTTGTGCCTTTAGTCCCAGCAATGAGAAAGTAACTAAGATGATTATTAAGCACCAAACATGGGCTCTATATGCAGGCCTGTCTGATATTCAAACCTCTGCTCTCGATAAGATATTCTATTCTCTGTTGCAGTCCATGCAAGTCTTACAATCAACAACCTGCTCAGTGAATACACTGGTGAATATACCCTGCAAAAAGTTATTTCATTTTTATGGCTCATTAGCCTCTACTTCCCAACCTTGGAAACTCTCTTAATATTTTTGTCAATGAACCCATCTCAGTGAAATAAATAGCTCAATTTCACTTTTAAAAACAATATATATAAACTCACCTAAAACTATAAAGATCATTGCCAAGCCAATTCTAGTAAGAGAAAACATCTCAGTGTTACAAAGAAGCCCAAATCTAATTCGTCTTTAACCACCAGAATGTAAGATCCATAAATCTAAAGAGCTGGTCTGGTTCCCTGCTGTAACTCGAAGCCGAAGTAGATGGCAGCACTTGCTAAGTATCAGTATCTGGGTCTGCAACTCCCTTAGTTACAGTCAATGGGAAAACCTGTTGCTTTAGACTCACTTCCACATGGTAACTAATCTTCCAGCAGAAATGTCACACATTGTTTCAGTAACACCCTTTCCCCCAACAAATATAGAACTCATCGATTCTCAAACTGACAGTGAATCTTACCTGTAGCTCAGACCTGAGCTGATGTATCTGGCCCATCAGCTTCTGTATTTCTTCCCTCTGCATGTCCTTCTCATGGCGAAGTTCTTCTAGCTCCATGCTATTAGCAGTGCTGCTATCTAAGCCTTCAAAACCAGAGCCTTCCTTTAAGCTGTTAATCAATTTTTCTTTAGACTATTATAAAAAAGAAACATGTTTAAGCAAAGCAGACATTATCTTGAATATTAAGTGTTTTTGTTGTCTTGATGGTGCTTGGAATCAAACTCAAGTCAAACAATCTTACCATTAAGCTATATCACCAGCGAGCCTGTACAGTGTATTAAACATCATCTCACAATACAGAAACTAGCTCACTATGGAAACACCCCAATTATTATCTCTCAAATAAGGTCCACAGATGATCAAATCTTTAGGGGAAAAATTGCAACAGATCCTTGCTGCATGTCCTTACATTTTAATCTCCTCGATTGTGTTAACAGTTGAAAACCTCTTATAAACAAGATTTTTCTCATATTTTCTTCACATGCTTTTTTTTCCCCAACATATTCCACTCAACACATATTTATGGAGCACCTACAAAGGGTATGGTTTGTGCTGAATTGTCTGTGTAATGAAGAAGATGTCTCTTACTCCCTTTCATAAGCTGACAAGTAGAAATTATCTAGTAGGAGGCAATAAACCCAAGAGTGAGATACGGTCAGATTACTTGCAGAGTTCTGAGCAGGAGAATCCACTTCTGTGGGGAGGAAAGGCTTCCTCTGAACAACAGTATTTTTGCTGGCCTTCAAACAGTTAAGATTTTAAAGTGTAGAGAAAGCTCAGGACAAATCATAGAAATGCAAAGGCACAGAGGATCTATGAGAAAGCATTGGGAGATGCAGCTTAGACAGTATTATTAGTACCAGATGCCAGGCTAGAATCTTTTCACTTTACACACTGGGTTGAAACAAATTGCCAAAAGCTGGGCATGGGAGTGACATAACTGGCGATGCATCTCATGATGGTTAATTTGGCAGTGCTGTGAAGCAGATGTTCACAAACCTGTGTTTTAACAGCCCACAAGCTAATAAAGCCTTTCACATTTTAAAGGACTATAAAAAATAGAAACAAAAAATATGTGGAGACCATATATAGTTCATCGGCTCTACAGTTTTACACATATGACCCACTAAAGAGAAAAAGCGTGTAGACTCCTGGCATTAAGGATGAGTTGGAATAGGACATCTGACATGTGAATACCAGTTTATAGTGTCAGTTCTAGAGCAACAGATTTCACCCTAACTATCCCTTAAACTTACTCTCCTCCCTCAAGAATCTCCTGCTGGCCATGGTAACGCACGCCTGCAATCTCAACATGGAAGGCTAAGGCAGGAGGACTTCAAGTATGAGGCCACCTGAGCAAGTCAGCAAGACTCTGCACAAAATTTTTAAACAGGGTTGGGGATATAGCTGTGTGAAAAGGCTAGGTTCAATCCCCAGTAGTGGAGGGGAAAAAAGGCTTTTTCTAAGTAGCAGAATAATATTCATATTCCCTTTCTATTTCCTTCTTCCAACTTTTTTCCTCTAAGTTTCTGTAATGAACATGATCATTTATATTTATTTTTTAAAATATCACAATATCCAACCCCCCTCCACACACTCCTGTCTAGCTACTACTCAAGTCCACAGTCAAGCTGCCCCTTCACGTCTTCAGCTCCATGCATCCTGGAGCCCTCCTTCCCGAGGTTCCAGGGGGACGTCCAGCGCCAGTCCAAGACGTCTGCCCAGTCCTCATCATAACAGAGCCACTGTGCACCTGCCTGTCACCCCTACTGAAAGCTTCCTCTTGCTGGGCTTCCTTAGATGGAAGCCATCAGTCTCTTCCTGATTCTCCCAAATTCCGACCACTCCCCAGCTCAGGTTGTGCCTCTGTAGGCTCTTTTCCTTTGCCTGGTTTGTAAATGCTGGTGTGTAACATGATGCTCCTAGCCCTCAGCCCTCTACCTTCTCAGGCTACACACTGTCCTCAATTAATCTCACCTGCACTCCCACCTTTCATGCTATCTCCCCATGGCTAAGGCCTACATTCTTTGCTGTGCTCCGGCCTGTACCTCTAATTACCTGCCTGATGCTTCCATGTGAATGTCACATCAACTTTGAAAACTCACCATTATCTGTTACAATCTCCTTCAACCCTAACCTGCTGTCCTCCCTGTCTTTCTCTTTTGTGGCACAGGGAAACAACATTCACACATGCAAACTGGAAAGCTGCAGTCATCCTATATACCATTTGCCCTCTTCCCCTTCCATATCTTATGGGATGTACTAGCTCAGTATCTCCAAGTCTCGTATCTCTTACTTTCTACATCAGCTGTCCCATTCGCCATCCTCATTTCCACAAACTTAGATAAGGTTCTTGTTATTCCTTGTAATCACCTATCATCTACCTGCCCACCCCTTACCCCTTCAATGCATTCAATAATTTCTTGGGTAGCAGGGACTATGTTGGGTCTGATGATGAACAATGGGGTCCGCCTCCTGCTGAACCTCTTCACTGCGCCTGGATTCATACGCTCAAATCTGATCTTACTACTCAAATTCACGGCCACATCCTCCTATCACCTACAGGTGAAATAGAAACCTCTTTGCATGGTATAAAGACCCTCCATAATCTGCACCTTCTGGTCACTGAGTTTTATCTCCCATCTCTTAATCTCTTAAACTTTGTGCTACTGCAGTGGGGAACTCCCAAGCTCCCCCAAGCGTACCAAGTTCCCCCAGGTCCCCTGATTTGGGCAGGGGCTGTTCTAGCTGAGTTCTCTCAGATATACAAGATGTTCTATATGAACTCTCTTCCCTAGCAAGTCTTCCTACTCATCCTTCAGGTTTCTCATTACACACCAGTTCCTCAGGGCAGTCACCCCTGACATCCCCAGGCACGTTTTGAGGGCCTTTTTTCTCGTGTTCCCACTGTACCCCATTAATAACTTCACCATTTACTTTGGTGTCATCCCACTGAGCTGAATGCTCCCTTAAAGGAAGAGGACACATCTTTTGAGCTTTGTATCTCAGCACTAACCATGGTGCCTAGTGAAGAGTGAGGCACACAATAAGTCTCTTCTCAATGAATTAACAAATTGAGAGTGAACAACACAAATAATTAGAAAGAAGAGTTTGGAAGAGCTAGACATGCAGTTTCAGGGGAGGAATAAAAGGGAATTTGCATCCAGGAGAAGACTGAGGCTAAAGGAAAAAAGGTAGAGTACAAAATAACCCTGCTGAGGTTTAGTTTTTGGTGATTTTTTTTTTTTTTTTTTTTTTTTAAACTACTGTGTACGTTCAAGCTTTTCTAGAGGGTGGCAAAAAATATAAACCAGGAAAGGAAAATGAAGAAGGTGGTTAGAGATTGGGACATTCCATGCTTACACAGCAGGCAGCTAGAAACAGGTCAGGAGGTGAGAGTTGGAGATTTGAAGTCACACAGAGGTGACAAACAGAAGCAGAGTGAGTACATGATGACGCAAGGTAAGAAAATAATGAAAGAGGCTTTAGGACAAAACTTAAGATTCTTACTCCGTGGAGATGGGGAAGAGGGCCCCAGAAAGAAACAGCACGGGATGAGAGCTCCAGGGCAGCACGAGTGGCATAGGAGGAGGAGTTTTAAGAAGGCGGGAAGGTACCAAGGCCAAATATGCTACCAAACCACAGTGAATGGACACAGAGAAGGACAAAGAATGTACATTTTGAGAAGACACTGTCAGAAATGTAGCAGAGACAGAAATTACATGAAGGAGTTAAAGTTAACACATCCTAAAGCAATGAAGACAGCAGATATGCAAATTCTGATACATCTTGCATTGAGAGAAAGGAGGGCAGGAAAATACTTCAAAGTGGTAAAAACAAACAAACTAAACTAAAAGAAAATTAGTTTTTTCTTAGGCAGGAGTCCTAAAATTTAGTCTTCATTCTTCCACTGAATAACCATGTGCTCCCTTGTAAGCTAAGCCAGAGGCAGCAAGAGAGAGACACATGGGAAGAATCACAAATATGGAGAAAGAGCTTAAATGAGGTATGAATAAGAGATGGAATCAAGTACTGGCAGACAAAACCTGAAAGGACGTGTCCTCTCTGAAATGAGAGGAAAGAAGAGAGAAGCTGAAGACTATTTTAGGTGACTGCAGTCTTAGTAAGAAGGTCAGGTCACCTTAGAGATAAGACAGGAGAAAGCAAGTAGGGTGAGATGACTGAGAGCTGGATAAGGTCTAGGTCATTGCTCTGAAAAATTCAACAAGGTTGCTCAGCAATAAACATTAAGACCTCACAGTGATCAAGGTGATATATTAATAATCTGAACTAGGTGGCGACAAGATGGTTTTAAATAACAATATGGTAGCACCAGGAGAGATTTCATCCTCTTTATAAGCTTTCTAAGTGTAGCAAGGCAATCCAGCCAAACACTAATCATTTCACAGTATTGACAAGAATGTCAGTATCTCTCAGTTAACTGATACACCTTCACATTCAAAACTGTGTACTTTATGCTTACTTGGAGTATTCTAGTGGCCTTCTGCTTGTAGTCAATTAATTCCTGCTTAGAAGACTCCCAGTTCAATTTGTGTAGCTTGACTTGCTGCTGCAGTTCATCAACTCTCTTCTTCTCGTCGGAGTATTTTCTTTCTGCCAGAGTAACTGCTTCTGCCAGGTTCTGCCGTTCCATTTCCATTTTATTAAGGCGTGCAGCAAACTCATTCTATGATAAATCGTTATATCATACATATCTTTAACCTTTAAATATATTTTGTAACCATTAGTTCCCATATCTTATGGGATGTACTAGCTCAGACCAACAACATAATAAAGAAAAATTCTTCGTTAGGAGCTAAATATAGAAAATCTAAAATGTGGCTTTGAAACATGGCAATGCATCAAAATCAACTAGGGAGTCTGCTGAAAAAGCACACACCCCAGGCCTTTTCCAGAACTATTCACATTCCATAAAGTTCACCCTTTTAAGGTGTATAATTCAGTGCACTTACTGAGTTGTTCAACCATTATAATAGAGTTCTGGAATATTTTCATCAATTTTTTTTTTTTTTTGGTACCGGAAATCTAACTCAAGACCTTGTGTTTGCCAGGCAGGTGCTTATGCCACTGAGCTATACCTCCGGCCCTGGAATATTTTCATCAATCCAAAAAGAAATCCCCTTCCATATTCTGCCTCTCTCTTCAACCCCTAGCAACCATTAATCTACTTTATTTCTCTGTGGATTTATTTATTCTGCACATTTCACACAAATGGAATCATTAAATATGTGGCCTTTGTGTTTGTCTTCTTTAACATGCAATGTTTCCAAGGTTCATCCAACTATTGACACATGTTGTAGCATGTATCAACACCATTCTACTCCATGGCTGAGTAAGATTTCCCTATATGGACATATCTCAGTGTACTTATCTATGCAGCAACTGACAGACATTTGTATTACATATAGCTTTGAGCTATTATGAATAATGCTGCTATAAACATGTGTACACAAGTTTTTATGAGGACATACATTTTCAATTCTCTTTCATAAACGTTTATATACATGTAGACTAGTAGGTCATGTGATAACTGAATTTTTGAGGAACTGCCTACTCTTAGAAAAACTTGTAAATATGTATGGACCAACTGGGGTATATCAATGGACTTGCTTATTTGTAAATTTCATGAAATATAAATGTAGGTCAAGCATTCCTGAGGAAAATTTAATGACAGAATTGAAATGTGTCTTAAGTGTAAAATATACCATGTTTTAAAGAATCAAAAAACAAAAAAGATGCAGAATTAATGTATGTAAAACTGTGTAATATTCATTTCTTTTAGTTTTGTGTTATTTTTGACTACAGAATAATTTCATTTTTGAGTAATTGTAGGCTCACAGAGAAGTTACAAAGATGGTACAGGATGGAGTGCTGTAATCTCAGCACTCAGGGGGCTGAGGCAGGAGGATCATTGTGAGTTTGAGACCAGCCTGGGCTACAAAAGTCAACTCAAGGCCAGCCTGAACTGCACAGCGAGACCCTGTCTTAAAAAGACAAAACAAAAACAAAAACAAAAACAAAGATGGTACAATGAGTTCTTTTATACTCCTCAATTAGTTTTATAATATTCATATGTAAAATTAATGTAATTTTTAAAAATACATGTCTACGATAATACTGTATAAGGTGAAAATGCCTCATCTAAAATGCCTGGGACCAGAAGTAGTTCAGATCTGGGGACACTTTCATACACAAGAGCTATCTGGGGATGGAACCTAAGTTTAAACATAAAATTCATTTGTATTTCATATACACATAGCTTGAAGGTAAGTTATATAGTATCTGAAATAATTTTGTGCAGAAAACAAAGTTTGTTGTTTTTTTTGCAGTATCAGGAATTCAACTCAGGACTTTGTACTTGCCAGGCTGGTGCTTGTGCTGCTGAGCTATATGCCTGGCAAAACAAAGTTTTATAATGTGGAATTTTCCACTTGTAGCAAAAAGTTTCCAAAATTGGAGTGCTTCTGATGTAGAGTTTTTAGATTAGGGTTGGCCAAACTGAACTTTAGATACACTGTATTAAATGAAATGTACTGTTAAATTTAAGAAAACACACTGCTATACAGTACTTGGTATTTACTTTCAGGGCTAAAGTGCTTCCACCTGTGGAGAAGAGCTCCTGGACCAGTGGTTCGCAGCCCCAGCTACCTATTGGATGCGCCTGTAAATACTGTAAAAACAAACTACCCACGTCTAGGTCCTACCTCACACAGTAGAATGCAGAAAGGCTGGGCATCAGAAAGCCTTCTATAGGCAACTCTGAAGTTCAGACAGGGCTGAGCCTGAACTAGGGATAGAAACTGTTTTAGAGTAAAACTCTATATAGTATTATGTACAACTATCTCTTGAAATAAACAAATCCGATTTAATTGAAATAAGAAAAAGCTTAGGCAAAAATGCCTCAAACCAGCGTTTGCGCAAATAATGGTAATGGTTGCTGCAAAACTAGGTGAAAGATGTAACGAATATTAACTATCTCACACACAAAAGGAAACATTTAGCAAGGATCAGGTTAATTTTCTAAATATCTGGTTTTTGTCACAGAAACAGCATTTTCTGAAATGCACTGCAGAATTTTATAAATGTGTTAGGGAACACCACAAAGGCATTCCTTCTTGTCCAAGTATCAACAGAACGCTGTTGTCTGCCTTCTAACCTGCATCTGTTTGTAGCTTTCTTGCTCTCTCTTTAAAGTGGCATCTGCTTCATGCAGTCTCTCCTGAAGAGTTTGCAGAGCTTGATTCTGTAGGCTACTTCCTTCATTGTGATCCTGCATTATTCTGAAAGAAAATGCAGCATGGGTCAAAAAAATATTTCCACAGGGTACAAGTGATAAGGAAGAATAAACTTTACAGACTCTCTGTTAGTCAAACAAAAAAGATGACCTGTCTAAGCCATTTCTGGAAAATCTTTTTCCTTTCTAATGGGATGCAATCTGTATTTTTAGGGCTCCAAATACAAGCACATAGTATATGCCAAAGATTAAGATAACTAAGTTCTTCAAATAGTTTTAAATTCAGAATCTGCTAACAATGCACCTCCACATACAAATGATGACTTTTTTTGGTGGTACGAGGGATTAAACTCAGGACCTCTGCACTGAGCTATATCCCCAGTGCTTTTTATTTTTGAGACAAGATGTTGCTAAGCTGTTAAACTGCCTAGGCTATACTTGAAATTTTAATTCTCCTGTCTCAGCCTCCCAGAGTGTTGAGATTATAGGCATATACCACTGCACCTGCTGATGAATCCACTTCAAGTGCACATTTCTAATACTGCTACAAGAAATGCTCCCTCTTATAAGTCTTCATAAACTAAGACACAGTGCAGTGTTCACTATCAGTCATCGTGGAAAGAGAGGACCGTTCTAGTTCATGTTTTTTATTATTACAGAAAGACCAACCGTGACTTCTCACTCTGTAGGACTTCTAGTGCTTCTGTGCGAGTACTGAGCAGCTGGTCAGCCTCCTGGAGTCTCACTTTCAGGACGGCCAGCTGGGAGTCCTTTGCAGCCATTGCTTCCGTCAGGTCATCGACTTGAGCCCGGAGTTCTCGAGTTATTCGGTCGCTCTTTGAATGGTCAACATTCCATTTTTCAACTCTTGCTCTTGCTTTGTTTAATTCTATAAAAATGAAATTTCTCCACATGAGCAAAACCAAACATATCTTTTTCACAGCACATGTAGACTGCTGTCCCTTTAGGATTTTAGTTTTTACCAAAATTAGAAGATTACAAATATCTTTTTGGGGGGGTTTGCCCCAAATGAGAAACCCATTTTTCAAGGCATTTTTCAATATTTTCAACCCATTTTTCAATATGTACACCTATATTATAGTTAATGGGCTAGAAAAGAGACATGAAGCTAGCTATTCTTCCACAACGTTGATATTTCTGCAGATATATCAGAAAGCACTTGGGAGCCCAAACTGGTAGACAGCAGGGTTAACAACGTTAAAGTGGTCAGTGAATTTGTCAGGTTCTGCCGGAGAAAGGTAACAGAATGGAAATCCAAAGTAAAAGTGCACTCCAGGAAAAACAAAATGAAACCCAAAACAAAAGCCTAAAGAGAATTTGTTTCTTTCATTTACTGTTGGAAAAGATGTTCTTTTAACCTAGAAAATCAGTGCAAAGGGGCAATGTAATGCTGTTTCAGAATACAATGGTATTTCTACACTCTCCTATGCATCTGTAACTGCAGTCCTCCACAAAAACACCCAAAACACATTAAAACAGAACAAACAAAAACACCACTATTTGCCTACATCAGCCCTGGCAGAGTGAAGTTTTATTCTAAAATGTGCAGTCTTAACCAACCTTACCATTCTGCTCTTCTGGCCTCCTCTCATGTGTAGGCAGAAGTTTTCCCACTGTCCCCTCATTCTCCTCATTAGCTCCAGGAACAAGGTCAGGGATTTCCCTTCTAGTTTTCCCCTCAGTCACTTACAAAAACATGCACACTTTCTGCTGTCAAGACCTCAGTCATGAAATTACTTCCTTTTTAATTAATCATTTCTAAGGAACTTGGGTTTTCTACTCTGGGGCCACCTAACTGCACCATTCCCAAGGGCATATTTAAATTGAATTCCATGGAGCAGCAGCACTGGACCTTTATTTAATCCCACCTATGGTCATGGAATAGTCCCCCTGAAAGTTCAGAATAAATCAAATGAACTTGATAGGCCAGGTGTGGTGATACACACCTGTAATACCAGAACTTGGGAGACCAAGGCAAGAGGATTGCAGTAAGTTCAGGGGCAGCCTGGGATGCATAGTGAGTTCAAGACCAACCTGAACTCCAAGTGAGGCCCTGTCTCCAAAAAGACAAAAAAGAAAAACAAACAAATAAATCAACACAGCAAACAAAAAATTTAGATGATGATGAATGTGTAATTCCTACTAGTTCTTAAACTTAGTAGTGACTAAAGACCAAACTAGTCAATGCTCTATTTTGTGTTGACAGGAGGATGACAGAGCCCATTTTCAAATCTGGGTCCTATATTTCTATGAAAATGCCATTTTACAAGCCTCACCTAAATTATACCTAATTAGATGTAAAGTTTTTGGTTTTGAATGTTAAATTCCTCATCCTGAACAAATTAAATAAAACCTTACCTTCTTGAGTTTCTTTGGATCTTTGAAGTAATGAGGCCATTTCCTGATTTAAAGACTGAACTTCATTCCTCAGCAGCTGATTCTCCAGCCGGAGATTAGACAGTTCATGTGATTTGCCATTGTCGCTGGGTGCTGGGTTGTGATCAGTGTGAATAGCAGCATCAGAAGATGTGTTTTCCTTTGAAGAATCCTCTTGGGCTCCAGGGTTAGGATCTGAATTATTGTCTGTAAAAAAAAATATATATATATATAACACACACACACTTATTATACTAGCATGGTCCCCAGGTGTACATCAGCAGTTTACTTTCTGGTGGAGCACTGTTGGCTCAAGCTGACTACCATGGCTAAACTATCAATTCTCAACAAATTCCCCTATGATGAAAATGTGTTCTCCAAATTAGAGCCTATAGTTCTCGAATGATCTCCAAGTCTGGACACACTGAATCAATGGTGATAGAAATGTAAGAATACAGTCCAGGAAGAAGAAAACCAGAGATAAGTTGAGTGTCTGAGTTTTGGTCTTTTCTTTTGTCTCTGAAATGTTTCTGGGTGAAAAAAAGGAGGTCTCAACAGAGGAAGGCACAATAGAACAGCTGTGAGTTACAAAGCAAGAAGAGCAATACTCTAACTAGAATATAGAATATCTTAACAGATACAGCCTCATTAAGATTCATCTTGCTTTTGTTACTAAATGTGATTCAAGTACTAAATGTGATGCAAGGGGCTGGGGACTTAGCTCAGTGGCAAAAGCGCCTGCCTGGCAAGCCCAAGGTCGTGAGTTCGGTTCCCAGTACTGGAGAAAAACCAAAAAAAAAAAAAGAGAAAACTATGCAAAAAACACATCTAAAAGACAAAATAAGAAGACAGGTCTTTTGCAAAAGGGAAGGGAGAGGGCAGAGAGAGGAGAGAAGGGGATGAAAAAGGAATTCAGATGTGTCAGATACATGTGTCAACACCCCATAACGAATGTAATCGTTATGTACTGCAGACATATGGGCAAGACTTGATCCTTTATGAGGTTAAATAAACATTAGTCAATAATCATATGAAAAAGTTCTCAGAATTTTTTGTTGTTTTCCTTCTTGAGACAGGGCTTCACTATGTAGTTCAGGCTGGCCTCAAACTCACAGTGATACGCCTGCCTCAGGTGTGCACCATCACATCTAGCCGGTCTCAGAATCTTTAGTGATCAAAGAAATGCAAATTAAAATCACAAGGAGAACCAATACTCACCGCTAGAATGACTTCAATCAAAAAGATTATACCAGTGTTGGTGATATGGTGCAACTCTAACTCGTACACTGCTGGTGGGAGCACAAAATAGTACCACTACTGTGGAAAAAAATATTTCATAATTTCTCATGAAATCAAACATGCCCATTTGATCTAGCAGTTCCATTCCTAGGTATTTATCCAAGAGAAACGAAAAGTTTGCCCCAAAGAAAAACAAGCACAAAAATGTCAATAACAATTTTTTCACAATAAAAAAAATGGGGAAAAAAAAAAAAAAAACAATAAAAAAATGGGAAACAACCCAAATGTCCATAAGGAGAATGGAAAAAACTGTTGTATATTCATATGATAAAATACTACACAATAAAAATGAATAGAAAGACTAACATGGAATCTCACTAACACCATTGTATTAGAGGCCAGATTGGAAAGTATACATACTGTATGATACCGTTCATAGGAAGTTTTAGAACTAGCAAACACCAAAGTAAAAAAAAATCACAACAGTAAATGCTTTTAGATATGAGGTAGGGAAATTAACTGGAAAGGAACACTATGAACTTTCTGGGGCAAATAAAAGCTGTATCATGATAAAGGTGCAGGTATAGAGCATTGACGGCAAACCTTTTAGAGACCAAGTGCCGAAACTGCAACCCTAAAACCACTTCCTTATCGCAAAGTGCCAACACTGCAATTAAATTGAATATCCAACGCTAAGTTTTTGGGATGATGCTGGGGCAACTTGGCTTGCGTGCCCACAGAAAGGGCTTTGCGTGCCCAATGTGGCATGCGTGCCATAGGTCCACCACCACCAATACAGAGTATATCACTTGCCTGCAAAGCTAAGATTTTTGTGCATCTCAAAATATGTATTTTTACCCAAAAGAAAAAAACATAAAAAATTAATCAAATGGAAGGGAGTGGTAAAAATGATTTAAAAATGGGAGTGTTAATTAAAATTGAGGCTTAATAGTGAGCATAGGGGACTCATTATATTATTGTTTACGTGGTCTAAACTTAAAATATGCCATATAAAAAATTTTTTGAAACTGCAAAAAAATCACCAGATCAAACAAGTAAGTTAAAGGGGAAAAAAAAGGATCTGAAAGCACAGACTACAAATTTAACGCAAGAATATACATAATACATAGCACCCAAGTAGAACATCTTCTTTTCAAGAATACACAGAATGCATAAAAGCTGACTTACTAGGGCATAAATATGAAATTTCAAAGAATTGGTATCACACAAATTATGCTATCTGACTTCAATACAATTAAGCTGGAAATCAAAACTAGGAAAATGTCGTAAGTGGAATTAAGGGAAAAATTTGAGAACTCGTGGTCAAAGAAATGTCGTAAGTAAAATTAGTCTGGTACTTGAGGTGTGTCTTGTGGTACTTATTTAGCATGTGCAAGGCCCTAGGATTCATCCCCAGCATCACAAATATCAAAATAAAAATGTATGTAATAATTAGGAAGTATGTAGGACTTCAACACAATTTTAAAAATACACATTTGTTGTTTTGGTTTTTTTAAAATATACATTTGTTTACTTAACAAACTCCAAGAAAAGGAGGGTAGTATAGGTATTCTACACATTAAAAGAATTTTTTAAAATTAAAGAATCTTAAGAGCAATCTCAACTCTTTTTTTAACAGCGACATCAAAGCCAATCTTTATTTTAACAGAGCCTGTGTGGCACCACAGGGGGACCAGTACTCAAGAGGGAGCCCTCGGGGACTAAACCTTCCACTCTTATTTGTAGTCTCAAACAGACCAAATGTTAAAAAAAAAATGAGACAGACAGGGAAATCTGAACACTGACTAGATTTTTTTTTTTTTTTTTGGACAGGGTCTTGCTATGTACTGTAGGCCGGCCTTTTAAACTCGCTTATGTAGGGGCTGGGGATTTAGCTCAGCGGCAAAAGCGCCTGCCTGGCAAGCGCAAGGTCGTGAGTTCGGTTCCCGGTACCAGAGAAAAACCAAAA